GCGGTCGAGCGCGGTCGAGCGGCGGTCGAGCAACGGTCGAGCAGCGGTCGAGCACGGTCGAGCGCGGTCGAGCGCAGACCCCGTCCCCCCCGAAAACGTATGTCCCGGAAATCTGAACCCTTTTCGGTGGAATTTTCCCGCTTCAACGCCAAAACCTGCTCCCTGGCTTCAAAACCTAAAATTCCACTGCCAAATCGGCAACCACTCTTGAGCGGCGGGCTTCAGCAACACTTTCGGCAGCGAATTTTGCGAAATCTCGTAGGTTGGGGAGGTTTCAGCACTCCAGGGCCCTGAGAACTTCCGAATCCAATAAATCTTCTCAAAAAGAACACATGTCACTGGATGGTCGCAAGAAATCAACGCCCAAGCAGTTCTCTAGCCCATACAAAATGGTTTCAACATTGACTTGGCTTACATGTTTCAAGGACATCGCAAAGCGACACTCAAGGCTGCTTCTTCATGTAACCTCCAGGATGACTATACATACAGGATAGCGGGCCCTTAGGGGGTTCGGGGTACTTAGGTCCAAACCATAATTCTCGCTCTGCAAGCAAATACAATGACACATGCTTGTCCATGGAACTTGCATGTACACTTCTGCAAAACATGCAACAATTTTGTACATGCTGCGATCTGGCGCGAAACTCTGTTTTGGGGCGCCACTCGTCACCTGGCGTTGTTGCTCGAGATGTACTCTTGCACCCTACAGTACATATGCAATTGCCCTTGGGAAGTAGGTGGTCTAAGGGTACTAGTATGTGTGCCGTCTATATAAAGGTTTACACCGCTATACCTCAAGCAACAACCCTAAGATTCAGAGCTACTGCTGCTGCTGCTACTGTTGCTACTTGAGTCTGCACGCGCAGCTGACCCAGAGGAGGAAGAAGAACTGGAGCTTTGGCTGCTGCTGGAGGCAGCAGACACGGCTGCCACACGAGCAGCTGATGAGCTCGCAGCAGGCTTTGGCTTTGAGGTTTGGGAGCGCTTTGCACTGGTTTGGGATTTGGCCTTAGCTTTAGTTTTAGCACCAGCTTTGACAGCTGCTCCGCTTTTTTTGTCCAAAGCCACATCTGTTTCTGGAGGAACTTCAGGCGGGGTATCTATTCGCTGGGAATGTAACACATCCAGACTAAGCCCCCTAGCTGCGACGCCGGACAGGAGCGGTGTGCCTACATGATGCCGCTGACGGTCAAACCTCCGAGCTTGAACACACCAGTGCAAAAGTGCCATGTAATCCACCTCATGGTCTTCTGGGGAAGCTGTTTTGTGGCTTATGTACTTCTTACATTCTGTCTTATCTGTCCTCCTATGCCAAGGACAGAGCGCTTCTAAAGCACCATGAGGTCTGGAGGGCGGCTTGGCAGCCAGACAGCTGATGCGAAAACATCCCCAGTGAATTAATGTCGGATTCGCATTACAAAAGGGGGTCGTATTAGAG